GTACTATTCTCTAATAACAGAGCTGAGTACTGTTCTCTGATAACAGCGCCGGGTACTGTTCTCTGATAATGTCGCTAAGTATTGTTGGAACGTTGATGGAATGCCGATTGAATGCAAATTGAATGCTGACTGTTCTCAACTGAGGTTTCCTGATAACCCCCTTCGATTGGCCTGATATTGTTGAAATGATAGGTTACTGAATACGGATTACTTAGCAGGGTGCTGAACATTGTTCGTTTGATAGCACGACACAAGATTGTTCACTTTATAGCATGACACTAAGTATTGCTCACTTGATAAGTACCGTGACACTGGTTAGCACGTCACCGAGTACTATGATATTTGATAGTTGTGCGTTGCTTACTAGTCGGGCATACTGACGAAGTGCTTCAGGAGAAGGGCCTGAGCACTTTCACACTCTCCCAGACTCCGTCCTAGCCTATTCGATCATCTTGGGAGTCGAGTAGGTACTGTACAGTTCTCCGTTAGGCCCATACTCAATTTTTTTTTCTAGGTCTTCGCCACTATCAGTGCATGCTCCCTCATTAACCTTATGTGGCACTGGAAGTCTTCATGTGCTTCCTTTTCCCAGGTTTTCACCTTATCCTGGAGAAGTGCATAGGTCATCAATAAAGCATTTTCACCTCCCATGCTTCCTCGTTTTTGCAAGGATTCTCAACTACAGCTCTAACTAGAGAGCACGATAAACGCACTGAAGGAGAGTTTGATCATAGTAACCAATCTTTGATCATAGACAGGTACACCACGATTGGCTAGGATTTGAAGCAAATAGTGATAGTCTGCTACTACAGCAAGTGGCGACCCCAGCTATAGCCCCACTGTGTGGCAAAGGCTTCTCTACTTTAGATCGCCAGCGTGGGAGACCGAGCGCCTATACGAGGCGTACCAAGTATGATAGCCAGTAGAACTTGCCTGATTGCAAGCGTATCTGGACAGCCCCCTGATTAGTGTTGTTCACGAGATCACTAGCATCTCCAGACTAAGCACACAGACAATCGACAATACTTCCTACACTTCCCTCAAGAGCTGGTAGATCTGACTAAATTTAGAGACCGGGGAAAACTGATATGTCCACGCCACAAACTCATAACGAAAGACTCATGTCCTCTCAAATAATCCTTAGGGGAAGCAGACTGAGCGTGCCATCAGTGATCAGGGATTAAGAATTGTATGCTCTAGATACCCATAGGCTCACATATACATTATTCTACTTTCCACAGTTGAAATAATCAGGGAAAAGAGGCCAACCCTGTCAACCTCAACAGTCAGGTTATAATTAACGCCGACTTTTAAACAGGCTCACTTGTGTCATCGTGCAGGGTTAGTCAAAATCACACTTCTTATCAGCCCCTTTAGTCAAGAACATACACAGACCGAGATTTCGCTAGTCTCCGTCGAGCATGCACTTAACTAGAAGGTAAGCAATCTTTCTTAGATTTACCCTTTTCCCATTCATCAATCAAGAGAGGGCGTTTGCAACAAAGCATGGATGTTTTTACTCAAATAGGGAAAAACTCAACTCAACTCTCTCTAGTAATCAAGGAGTCGTCGTCAAGCTTTCCCCCAATCTGAGGAATCAGTAAATGAAAATCCAATTGGTCCCATTACGTAACCGAGAACAAGGAGACAAGCGACAAGATGCAGAGTGAGGGAACAATGATAAAGCGCCCAGACAGAGCGACAACTCGTAGAGACTCAGCCCATCAAAAACTCGCAACCATATCTTAATACTTTTTGCATGTCACTTCCTTTTTTTTTGTTTTACTATACCCACAGAAGAAAGTGACAATGCAACTTATCCGCACCGTTTCACCACTCGCTGACATGACAACCAGTTAGCAATCCCCTCAGTCCATAGCCCATTGACTTCTGACAGCATTCAGAACTACTCAACTCTCTGAATATGCTCAGTTGTTACTCGTCCCTTTCCATCCAACTTCCCAGCCTGTTCTCGGCCAGAATGCCATCTCATTAAAAGTGGTTCAAAACTCGCAAGCTCAACTAACACCCACAATCCGCTTTGCACGCTCTATCTCTTCGTCAGATCTCGATTATTTATCCTGCTTGGGGATTGTCATTTCTCCCCACCTCTGTTCTTTTAATATCACTTATTGACTAATTGTTCCTTGGAGCATGCGCAAGATCATGGATCGACCCCGCTCGATAGCCCCAGGCAACTTTCAATCCGAACTATATGACAGAGAGAGTGATATACAATATATGTTCAGGACCGGAGTTCGTTTACAACACCTTAGACCCGCTCCCTATCAAGGGTTAGCATTTACAACTACTCTCAGTGCAGGTCCGATTCGCAGCCCCTATTTCATGAGATAACAACTCAAGCAACATCAATCCAAAAATTATTTCCCGTTCAGCACGCCCACTGGCGACAGTCTCGGGTCGCCTTCAGGCTACCGAGTCCAGGACAATTATCTCAAGCGCTCATGAATGCGTGGCGCTCGTGACACAGACTAGGGCGGCAGACACAGAGGAGGTTGGTCGAATAAGAAGATCAACAATGTCGGCCCCCAATCGTGCAAAGTTAGAAACTCAGGTAAGCTATAATGTTGCGGCCTGCTGGCGACGTCAACCAATAATGGGGACGACCTCGTCGTCTCCGTCGTTCTTGACTTCAGCGAGTCTGCCTCGCACCCCGTTTTACTTGACCACAAAATTACTTGAAGCATGCCGAAACAAATCTTGAATGCGAACAGCACTAAGAGAAGGACAGAATAATGCGAGCGAAGTCAAACATAACGGCTCAGGTACGGGAGATAACATCAGTTGAGGTCATTTCCTGCTCAATACACCCGTTGACAGCAGTCCACGGGTTGCCTTCTGGAAGGAATATGAGTGTGAGCAATATACATAAAACCAAGTTGTGAAATCACACAGCTGAGCAAGTAGTAGTATCCCAAGTAGAGAGTACAAATGCACCGAGAAAACCATCCATAAAGAGCAATACAATGAAGTGTTGAGCCAATGTCCAAGCCTGTAGGCCACACCAACACCGTATCCAGAGTCGCTCTCTCTGTCTGGCGCACAGCGCCCAGCCTACTCTACCATCCTACGCTACAGTTGGTTCACACAACAGGATCACTTCGGCTCACGAAGACCAATGTACACGACTGTCCACACCATCGACGACCTCTCTTCATGTACCAGGTACGTATCTCGTCACCCTCAATCAGACCTTGATTATCCCACACAGCGCCTCACTCCCTGAAGACCACCCGATCATCCGCTATACCCCTTGGCGCCTAGCAGCCCGGCTATGGCCGCCTGCGCCCCGCTGCCCTGCAGCACCCCACTTCACCTCTCGCGCCCCGTCAGCGCCCTTGGGAGCAGCACAACATCAAACGAGAGCGCAGCAACACTTCCGCATTGCCGGTGCTGGCCAGAATGCCTGGCTTGGGCTGCCTCACTTCCTTTATGGAAGTGGCAGCCTGCTGCATGCTGCATGTGGCCTGGCTGGAAGCCTCCAATAGCTTCCGGTTGGGCCTCAGACCCTGTGCCCAAGCCGAGACTTACAGTTGAGGGCCTCGACCCTTTACAGTTGGGCGACGCCTGAGTCTCCGGACTTGGGCTGTTAGCTGCATGTGCGCAGGGCCCCCAAGTAGGTGCGTCGGCTGTACTACTTTTCCAGAGGCCGACGGCCTGCTTCTCAATGTATCGGCCCTGCTTTCTGTGTAGGTGCCCAGGCACAACGTTCGTGGCCTGGGCCAACTGTACGACGCAGCTTAGTGAGGCTCGCGCGTTCACTCAACCAACTGACGCACAGCAAGAGCCCGAATACCCACATATGGAAATGTCGAATTTGGCATGTGACGAATATTCAGGCCCGCCTTCACTTAGGGCGGGCACTTGGCTTGCTGGGGCCTTGGCCCAGAACAATGTGATGTCTGAAAGGGCCACTTGAGGGCTTGTTCCTCACATTCCATCCCCCTTAGCTTCGAAAGTCCGCTGAGATGCTTCATGCTGGTGCCTTCCCCTTCAGTCTTTTCTCATAATCGGCCACGATATGAGGAGCTGTCTTGACAAGTTCCTCCCTTGAAATCCATCGATCTTCCTTCGGATGTGTATGATGCCTGAAATGTACTCTGTATTCCTTCACAGGTTTGGGAGGTCTTCCCCTGCCAGGTGGCTTAGGAACAGGCGTATCTCGGTGATCCAGGATGTCGTCGACGTCCACGTGGCCAATCCATGGTTGGGGACAGCACAGATCTCCGTGATGGAAACTGTGTTCTCTCAGCAAAAGGTGCAAGTTTGGAAGCGTGGAAAACAGGGTAAGTGCGTACGTGACCAGGGATACGAATAACGTACAAGGGACCATCCAAATCATTCCCCACGATATCCAGGACTTCACAGGGACCAAAATACTGAGGCATTAGTTTCCTAGAGATGCCAAACTCCTGTCCCAGTTCACTAGCCTTGACCCAGACACGTTCCCCTACCTGAAATGTGGACTGTCGACGACGCTTGTTCTCAGAAGCAATCATGACCTCCTGAGATTTCTTAATGTGTTCGACAGTCTGCTGCAGCAGTTTCTCATACTGGACACCAAATTCGATGGTTCCAAGAGTTGCAGCAGTTCAATTTTTTCAGGTAGGAGGAAGTCTAGAGCAGATCGAGGCTTCCATCCCAGATGTAGGTAGGAGGAAGTCTAGAGCAGATCTAGGGCTTCCATCCCAGATGTAGTTGATTAGGACTGACATCGATGGTGCTGTGTAAAGTGTTGTTGTACAGACTGGCGATGAGAGGTAACTTCTCATCCCAGTCATCCTGGCTAGGCTTGAAGTACTCAGCAGATGCTGCACCACTCGGTTCATCTGTTCAGCCTTCCCATTTGCTTCGGGATGATTCCCAAAAGTCATCTGAAGCTGGCTGCCCATCTGTTCAGCGGCCTTCTTCCACATGTCACTAGTGAAACGGACATCTCTATCACTAACGATAGTCTTAGGCAATCCAAAATCACGCACCCAGTTGTCCATGAACAACTTGATGACGTGCTCAGTCCTGRCWGTCTCTGGCATGGCGATTAGTCTAGCGTACTTAGTGAACTTATCCACTATGACGAAGATGTGCCTCTTGCCATTCTTGCTGGTCACAAGAGTATCCATGAAGTCCATGGAGATACTCTGCCCTGGGCCAGCAGGAATGGGTAAAGGCTTGAGTAGCTCGAGTCCGCGGCTTGTCCCGCTGACAGACCTGACAAGTCTCCACGTACTTCTTCACATCGTCAAGCATGTTGAGCCACCAGAATCGCTGTACTAAATTAGCATTCGTCTTCTTATAGCCGAAATGTCCCATTGCGTCGTTGCACTCACCTAAAAATATACTACGCAAAGTCTCTCCAGATGGAACAACTAACCTCTTGAACTCTGCCTTCTCAAGAAAGAGCAACCCATCCACCACCACAAACTCACCAGTGGTGGCCTTGTCTTTAGCCTGTAATTTGTTGATGATGTCCATCGTGATGGGATCTTCCTTGTAGGCTTCCTCTAAAGATAGAGTTACATCTTCAGATTGACCAAACTCAAAAATCAGCGCACCTAGGTAATCTGCCCTCCTAGACAACGCGTCTGCAACATTGTTGTACTCTCTCTTCAAATAGTCTAGCTTGAAATCATATTGATCTGTGACTTCAATCCAGCGTTTGAGTGCATCTGAGAGAACTGGTTGAATCTTAATCCACTTGAGTGTCTGATGGTCAATTCTCAAGTAGAAGAACCTTCCTAACAGGTAGTGCCTCCAGTGGACAAGTGCCTTGTAAAGAGCGTAGAGTTCCCTCTCGTAGGTGGACTTTGCCAACTTCTTTGAAGGCATCTTTTTGCTCATGTACTTGATCAGTCTCAACTTCTTCCCTTCCTGTTCAGCCAGCACTGCGCCAATCCCATATTGGCTTGCGTCAGTGGTTACAACGAACGGCCTTTGCGGGTCGGGTACCATGAGAACCTCATGATGCGTGAGAACTTTCTTCTAACGCTTGAAAGCTGCCTCACACTCGTCGGTCCAGTCCCATGGTGTATCGAGTCGAGTTAGATCAGTCAAGAGAGATGTAATCGTGCTATAATTCTTTACGAAATTGCGGTAATAACCACACATTCCCAAAAATGATTTGACCTCAGTTACAGACTGGAGTCGTGGCCAGTCACGAATGCTAGCCACCTTCGCATCTTCGGGCCTAATTCCATCCGCGGATACCTCATGACCCAAGTACAAGATTCGAGTTCGACCAAACTCGCATTTCTCAAAGTTTATCTTATACTTGTGCTGCTGAAGGAGTGAAAGTATTTTGTCTACATGCTGAGCATGCTCCTCGACAGATCTACTAAAGATAAGTATGTCGTCGAGGTACACGACAACAAACTTGTCTAAATAGTCATGGAAGATCCTATTCATGGCATACCCGGCGCATTGCAAAAAGGCCAAAAGGCATCACCACAAACTCGTACAGACCGTACCTGGTCTGAAATGCGGTTTTGTGCTGGTCCTCTGGTCTTATGGCAATCTGATGGTAGCCGTATTTTAAGTCTATCTTTGTATAGCACTTACACCCCTGCACCCTATCCAACAGGTCGTTGATGCGTGGTAGAGGCTCTACGTTCTTAACGGTGATGGCATTGAGGCCTCTATAATCAATGCACATCCTTAGTGTTCCCCCTTTCTTTGGAACAAACAATACTGGTGAGCCAAAGGGGGAAGTGCTAGGCCGGATCCAACCCTTCTCTGTGAGCTCTTTCAGTTGCCGCCGAAGTTCGTCCAACTCAAATGGAGCCATCCTATAGATTCTACCCTTCGGTGTTTTACTACCTGGGATAATCTCTATGGCATGGACAATCTCCCTGTCTACGACTCCTATAGGCTCCTCAAACAGATCTGGGTACTTAGCGACGATGGTCTCTATCTCTGGGGGTGTTTTAACGGCCTCCCCTTTTGCAGAGACATAGACCAAGTACATTCCTTCCTCTGATTTCTGTTTATAATAATTATAAAAGGCTGTTGCGCATAAGCACCCATAGGAGTCTACTAACCTACTCCCACTAGGCAACTCGTGCTTCAACACATTCTTGTCCCAGTCAAATTGGGGCTTGGCAACCTCGAGGTAGTACATGCTCAATAACATGTCAAAGGGCAACTCGTCGCTCACCAGGAATGATATCTTATGGTTTCTCTCTCCTCCTGGGTAGGAGAAGGTGCAGACTACATCTTTAACGTTAGTCCTCCACCATCATGCGCTCTTTGTTGGCCAAAGTAGATGCTACCGATCTACTAAGGCGCTGCACCCGGTCCTTTAGTCACAGTCTGTCAACGCAGTCGCGACTTATGAAGTTTCGTGTGGAGCCAATGTCTACGAAGGCGCCGCACTTGCGACCACCCACATCAACTTCCACAACGAAGTGCTCCCCTCTAGGACCTCTGCTAAGTGCCATCTAGGACTCACGAGGGTCCCTTGCCGACCACTCACCTTGAAGGTCCTGTAAGGCCTCAGACACATCCAACGTACATAGTATAGTTGAGTCCGGATGCGTCTGCGGGGTGACTAAGGAGTCAATAGCTTTGGCCATTTCTTGAAACGGGGAGGATACATCACCCGCTTCAACGAGAGTAGAAGCAGCTATAACTTCTACTGGCCCTAAGTGTTTCCCGAGCTGGAGCTCGTAGAGGCCCCAGATTGAGAAGAAGAGAACCCACCCTTAGGAGGAATCTTTTGCGAGACCTTCGGATTCTTGCATTTGAACTGTGTGTGACCATACTCACCGCAGTTAATACAAGCACCTCGAGACCAACGGTTCCGCCACACTTCTTGATCCAAACCTGCTCTAACCCAAACAGCTATTTTGTTTGGGTTAGCGGCCTGCCCCTGACTCCTTTGTTGACCGCCTTTGCCGCGGCCCGCTGCCTTAGTCTTAACTACGTCGGCGAGGTTGCTACCCTCAACACTTTCCTCGGCGTCAAACTCTGAACCCTCCACAAGATCAGAAACATCATCGATCTCGGTTTGATTTCCATTGGAATCAACCATCATCAATCGACTACCCTTCTTCTTCCACTCTTGTGGAGTCTTCTTCTTTCWCCCRTCMGTAGAAGGGGTTTGAGCTCCACCCAGCGTAGCCTCTAAGTCTAGGGCCTTCTTGCTGAATGACTCAAAGGTGTGATACTCTCTGCGAGCCTCGCTGGCTAATAAATTCCTAATGTCTCTGGGATGACATCTCAGGAACATGGTCAGCAAGACCTGTGGATTATACTCCACTCTCGGGACGACGATCAGGCGCTCTACGGCTGTGGTGAGTTCTCGCACAGACTTGTACTTTTTAGTATCAAGTTTCAAGAGCCCATCAGTGGCAATCTGTGCCTGTTGAAGGTTGTGCCAACGAGCCTCCACTAAGTTCATAAAGCTTTCTAATGTGTGGGTCTGCGCCCAAAACTAAACCACTTAGTGATGGTCCCCCGCTCATATGACAGAAAACCCTAGGTGAGTGATATACACCACCACGCCTTCTCACACTCACTCCACTGGTAGCGCACTATCCCCCATGAGCCATCCAGACATCTCTCCCTTTTGCTCTGAGTCCCTCTCCTCCCACTTGAGCATAATCGTCACGCTCTGTCGCAGGTCGCCCCCGATCTATAACTGTCCAATACTCTTAGTTACCTCTCGATCGCGAGTTGGCCTCTGGACCACTCTCCACAGGCCCAGCCGGTGGATGGTCCCTCCGCCACTGGTCCAGCCCATGCCAGGACTGGGTCTCCTCGTTCAAGTCATTGGCGTCACTCTCAACTTCAGTATCGCGGTCCAGGTGCTGTTGCTCGCGTTCTACCGTGTCCGTGGAGGTTTCCGCCTCCAAGTACGAGACGGTCACCTTGATTTCATCCGTGACCCCGTCTCGCCTGCATCTCCTTTCGGCTCTATCCTTAGCCTCTGTGATCGCCAACTGCAAGCATTGGTCTGCCCTCATTTCCTCTTCTTTTCCTCCTACGTTTACCCTCAGTTTCGCCTGGTGCCTACCGTAGCTGTAGTCCAGGACGACCGTCACCGTAGGCCCTTCTCCTGACATCTGCTCCCATCTCCAAAGAAACTGGAGACACCTTGGCCTATAGCCGTACAGTCCGCTGCTCCGTACCATGACTACGATCTCACAACCAGCAGAGTTACGGTACTTAGAGCACGCACACTCAATCTGCCCCTTCCTTCTGACGAACACCTAGCCACTTCCCGCTTTGAGCTCAGTCCGCTAGTCGTTAGCACAGCGGAAGCTCCTGAACGCATCCTTCAGGCTGGCCACCGAGGACTCGTTTGCCTCGTCCTTTATAGGCTTGTCTCCCATCGCAACCCTTCCCCCTCCACGTTCTAAATGAGGAGCTCAAGTGGCTAATAAAATAAATAAGACAATTAATTTATAAAGAAAATTTGGGAGGCCGACGCTCAATAGTCAGAGCACGAGCCCAACACACAACGTTACTGTCAATTACTAATCCCAGTGATGTGACTAGAGGCCTAAAGTGGTGGTCCCATAACGGGATACCGACCGGCAGCCTTTCTATTCCAAAAGGAATCACTGGACTACAACTAACCAGTACCCACGTCCAATGGCAAGGAGGGGGCTTATGACCTTCCACAGGGGGTGATAAGTCTCCTACCGAAGCGGTCGCGGGTTGCCCCTCTTTTTGAGGTCGTACTGTGTGGCGCCCAATCAGTTGAGTCAGTATTAGAGCAAGACGCGGAAGGTCAAGCCAGTCTAAGCCGTCCTTTTATGATCATGGTTGAAAAACGAACCATTAGCCTCACCTCGCGAAGTGACCGAAGGAAAAAGATTAAATGAAGGAATGGACAATAGTAGGGGTAATAATATCAGAGGGGAGAACAACGCTTCAAAATTTCTCGCGCCGATATACCACTAAACCCACCAGGCCCCGAGACACAATGACGTCGATCTAGGTCTAGGCACGGATCCAAGCTCAACACTAAACCTTTCCCTCTTTTACTGACAGTGATCGTGGCCACCACACCTACCCCAGAACACGACAATAGGGACCTGGCGTGCGGTTGAGAGAACCAAACCGACCATCGCTATCCCACTTCTGCACTTAGCCCAGATCATGACCATCGGGGACCAACGCGCGACTGATCGTGCTACCCCTTTTTTTATCACACTACGCAACCCCGATGGTCACTTCAGTTACGAGACAGCGCACTGTAAGGCAGGGTATTGAACCTGCGCAGTATCACTAGAAAACCCAGTATCTGGGCCTGTCAATTCCACACGACCCTACAGACCCACTTCTGCACTTGGCCCAGATCATGACCATTGGGGACCAACGCGCGGCTCACCGTGCTACCCCTTTTTTTTTGCGCTAGGCAACCCCGATGGTCACTTCAGTTACGAGACGACACATTGTAAGGGAGGGTATTGAACCTGCGCAGTATCACTGGAAAACCCAGTATCTGGGCCTGTCAATATCACACGACCCTACGGACTGATACCGAGCTTACATCGGTAAGTGAACGGATGAACTGATACACAGCAGAGGGCCGGGACACCGCGCCCTCCGACAGCGCGCGGGCATCGAGAGGATACAGGGCGCTGCTGAGGGCAGCGCCATAGCCCAACCTTCATAGCCAAGATGGGGCTTGGACACAGTCAGCGCGTGGTGGTGGTCTTCGTGTATGGGAAGGAAGGCGTGGGCGATGAAGACAAGGGTGAGAGAGAGAGATGATGTTGATGATGTGAGGGCACATACCTGGTCTTGGTGATGGTCTACAAGGTCGACATCTTCATGCACTGCGGTTGTTTCTGTCGACGTCAACGGGATGCATTGTCACTTCGTAGGCTGCTAGTAGCTGTGTAGTAGTCTGGACGCTGAGCGCCAAGGAGAAGGAAGGGCTTTGGAGACATATGTTGGTGGTGGCGAAGATTATGCTCTCATTGACATTCGGATTCGGTGCTTTGGTTCTCCATTGGTGGAATATCAGTGCATTTCTGCTTTCTGGACAGTGCTGGACATTCTGGCTTTTATTTCGCTATCGCTCATTTTCCTTACATTTGGTATCAGAGCTAGTTCGAGCTGCTCTGCTGGCTCCTTCGCAATAGCTGTTTGGTGCTTCGCTCGATATGGTGGGGCAGTGGTAACGCTTGTGCGTTGGGTAGTGACGGCGGCCCAATGTCCTGTGGGCGCGCCACGAAGGCTATGTGGTGACATAGGGGTGCATGTTGGATGATGAGATTTTGCTGATGTGGCAATTTAAGCCGAGGTGGAACATTGCATTGTGGGTTGTGACGAGGCATCAACCGATCATCATAAATGCACGTCAGGTTACTGGTGAGAAGTTTGTGGTTAGGGACAACATTATGAGGTACGTTGCCCCTTACCTACCCTCTTCATTACTTCTTCCCGTGAGGAAGTGAGTTTTGTCTTTAGTGTCCTCTCATTGTGAGGTGTCGCGAAAGCTCAACCTTGAGAGTCAACATTCTTGTAGAGGAGCAAGTTGGTGGGAGACGGGCGTTGCCTTTGAAGGGCCCTAGACGAAGCACTCGGGTCACAGTCACCTGCCAACCGGTTGGGACCAGTACACACATGCTTTGTCACTGGTCCTTTGTTCTACTTGCTGCGCTATAAAGGGAACATGGACTGACCAGTCCTATGCAAGACGTCTACCACACCATCTATAAATTATTTCTGGCAGGATCTAAATGAATATTGGTTGTGATCGTCGTCCTGTCTGCGATGTTAAATAATTCTTGAGGACCTTGGGGGCTGCCCTTAAAAACGGCCTCTTGATCAGCCAGATCAATCGGATGGAAGACTCATTGCACGCGAGGATAAATAACGGGCAGAACTGGTCATAAGCGATTTCCTGGGCCCAGGAGTGCGCCGATTGCACACCTTCAGACACGCGGTTGAACCAGAGCTTCATGACGTTGACATCAAGTGACTACTCGAGAGGGATACAAAGGCAGGGAAGATTCAAGTGAACAGCTCTATTGTTTATTAATGTAAAATTTCATTCTACATGCACCGACAAATAATTTTATTTTTCTTTTTGATTAGTTAGTTTCGACGGACATTGATAACAAGTTACAGACAACTGCAGATAGGTAGTAATCATTCCTTGCTGTATTGCAATCTGTTTCAGACTAGTCAAAAGTAGAAATAAAATTATTTGTAGGAATCTTAGATTATCTGTTGTTATCGCTTGACATCTTTCCAACAAAGCTGGAATGAACATTTATATTATTTTATTTTAAATCGGTTGGATGCCATGCTGCGGTAGGTCCTAACGAGGAGTAGTACAAATCGCAGGCCACACAAAGCTCATGAGTGGAGATGACTGTGAGGTTGACTGACTAGACCAAGACGATAGAAGGCTTACCCGGAGACGTGCACTCGATCGACCGACCACTTTTCTAGTGTTAGAACAAGGAAGGAAAGGAGACTGCGGAGAGAAACCAGAGAGACGACGGCATTGCAGAGGACTAGGGAAGCAGCCGCCAACGTCGAAAGGGCACTAGCAGCAGCGTTTGTTGTAAACGCTAGAGCCAAGCCAAGGCAGTCATGGCTACCGCCTCGACCATGTCACAAGCCTCATCTCAGGCCTCTTCGTCAGGTGTCAATCAGGGTGTCTCCTAGGTTTTCGTTAGTCAGTTTGCTGGCTTGCAGGTCAGCCAACAGCAACCCATGTTAGATGAGGATCATGAGATCCAACATCAGATGCTCTCCACATAGAGTTACAGAGCCAGTTGCAGGAAGTAGAGGGAAGGAGAGAGAGAGGTAGGATTAGAAAAGCCCGATTAGAGGCGAGGGGAGAGGAGTTATGCAAGTTAGAAGCTATAGATGAGTCGACTCTCGATCCTGTAGGGTTGTCCCTTCAGAACTCCCTGTTGAGTGTGGTCGAAGTTCAAGTTGTGCAGTAGGAGATGTTGGCGCACTGATAGCTGGTCAGAACCAGATTCTGACCGCATTGCAGGTGCCTCGACCACCGGTTAGGCAACAACAGTTTGTTGTAGCTCCCCCTACGGTTGCAGGTCCAGTGATGATGCTACCGCCGACGGGGCAACCCTTTTCCCCTCAGTTTGGCATACCCCCATCAGGCGGACTAGTAGTAGGTAGTAGTGGGCAAATTCTTGTACAACATTCTTCGTTTCACCAACCGGTGGTTGCCGCTACAGGGCAGCCACAAGTGCAGCAGCCCTTGCAACACAATCAGCCGCAGCAGTAGCAAGTGTCGCTGCAGCAATAAGTGCCGCCGCAGCGCCCCGTTCCATCGGTTACTCAACCGATGCAGCAAGCACATGGTGCTGAACAGCCTATGCAGCGGACCCCCAAGATACCCTTGTCGAGTCCTAAACGACGACAAGAAGGACGAGAACCTGGATACCTGGGTGGAGAGGCGGTTAACGGAGGCCCTAATTTTCAGACAACTTGTCATGCCATTTATAACAAAATCCAAGGGTCATTTTAACCAAACTTGCCACCAAGTCATATAGTACAAACCATAGTTACTAACTGAAAAAAAAACAAGACCGAAAAAAGAAAAAAAAAAAACCTATAAACAGCAAGGCAAAAGTGCACTTTCATGCAAATTTCGCCAATATTCAGTTTCAAAAATCTTAGCAGAGGAAATTTCAATGCTCCAAATGAGACCAAATTTGGTACACAACAACTTTGAACCAAAACAAAAACAGGCAAAAAAAAAAAAAAAAAACGTAAAATTTGACCCCCAAACCCTAATTTCAGTTTTGGACTTGTTAGTCACGAGTTGAAACCGGGGGTCCCCATTAACCACGTGTGCCAGATCATTGGACTAGTTCATAGTACTTCATACGGTTAGTTTACAACAAGTGGCATGATCCCCAAGGGGCTAAGAAGGCCACCGACTCGTTGACCAGTCTGAGATCGAAGAGATACCAAGAAGTTTGCGAGGTAACAGATCCCATAGAGCGGCTGATCGTTGTCTGTGGTGTGCGGTACGCACCGCAGGTCCTCTTGACAACTTATTTGCCATGTCAACCTACAGATGTCAAAAATAAGTTGGTCGACGAGGTCTCCATCGATGTACATGACTTTGCTTCTTTCAGCACCTTTCAGCAAGAAGGCCTTAGACATTGAGGCTAGGCTTGGGAGTGTCCATCCGGGACTGGTAGATGGGAGAAAGAAAAATTCCCTCAAGACTGGAGGAAGAAAGACAATCTCATGTTGGTTGACC